TTCCGAGGGTGTAAATCTTTACGGGAGTAGAAAGCCTCATCTTTCTCCCGCGGAGCAGCTGGTAGTTTCGAACCGCTGACCTTAAGGTTTGCAGCCCAATTCGTAACCACTACGCTACCAGAGCTCCTATTAATCTGAACTGACTTGACCACACTTAACGCCAGCAACCTCGTGGGTGGCGGCATGGGAAGAACCCTGGGCGGGACACTGGGAACCTGATGCTTGTTGTCCTGTGATTCTGGGACTGTCATTCGTCCTTTTGAATCCTCAGTGTTCCCCTCTGTCACGGGATGGGGTTGGCCTGGGTGACCCCAGACAGCCTGCTGCAGGCTCCTGCGCCTGCCCCTGCCGTGACTTTCCCTGTGCCTCCTCTCTGCCAGGACGCTGTGTGACAACCTTCGGCGGGACCGGGACCGGGCCGTGAGTGAGCTGGCTGAGGCCCTGCGTAGCCTCGACGACACTCGAAAGCAGAAGAATGACATCAGCCGGGAGCTTAAGGAGCTCAGGTAGACCTGGGGGTGGGGTACCTGGCTGAGGATCTCTGAGGCATCCCTGAGTGCACCAGACTACTCTGTTTAGACATCTGACCCAGTGACTGCCTCACTCTGTCAATCTGTAGAATGGGCCTCCTTCATTCTGACATTTAATTAGCCACTGCAGGAGTTGGCAGCGCCTCGCATGTAAAGAGGCACGTGGGAAGAAAGCCGGGAGCTGAGATGTAGTTGTTGCCGTTTGGAGACATGCCATTCATTCACTGATCCCACAGAGTTTTCTTGTGATCCAGGCTTGGGAGAGACCCTGCACTCTGGGTGCTCACAGCCAAAGGAGGAGCCAGACCAAAGGCACTGCCATTTGGGAATCACATACATAAATGAATCTAATTTTAGGTTGTAGTTCACTGATTCGAAGGCAGCCAGTTCTGCCTGTAGTTTTTAGAAGGCATTGTGGGCCGTCAGACAACCTCCCCCATGGACCAGCATCTAGGGATGCCACTGAAACATTGGTGGCCTTTAGCAGTAGACTGAAAATGCAAAGCTCAGAGCTTAAGACAGGCATCAGCTGAGCCCAAGATCTGCCAGCAAAGCCTAGAACAGAGCTCTGGTTCAGAACCAGTGACTGTTGTCTGTTCTCTGAGTTCTTCTCAGCTGCCGTGTGGGGTAGGAGCAGTAAGAAACGTGTGTGTGTGTGTGTGTGTGTGTGTGTGTGTGTGTGTGAGGGAGTAACATCTTCCTGTCCCTCTCCTGTTCAGTAAAATCTCCTGATCCAACATGGAAGGTTTCGAGATTAAATCACAACCCAGATGCCCTGGGGCTTTCGTGCGACTAGAAAAGTCTCGGAGGTTAGGCGGTAAAGTAGTAGGTGTTTTCCCAGAAAGTGATGTAACTAAGTTAAGGTAAACCCTGTGTGGAGCTGTGGGATAATGTACTGGACTGCAAGGTCAGTTTGAACAGTAGGGTCGACGGTTCAAATTCACCAGCCGCTCCTAAGAAACCTTATACAGGGTTGCTAGGAGTCGGAACCCTGACTCCACGACACATGACAACAACAACACCACCATGGTCCTAAGGCTGGAGGAGACTTTGCATCTTAATTGAGCAGGGATGCTTGTAACTGAGAAGAGATCTTTGTTTCATTTTATTTGTTGAGCACATTTGTATCCGCACCCGCTTTCTGCTAAGTTGTCAAACTAGTGGGGTGCAGAAAAGCAGGCCCCAGCAACTCAGAGTGTGGAGGGTGTGCCGTGGGCCCCTCCCCTGGACAGAGGGCAGCAGGGCGCACAGGGGAGGTATCCCAGGAAGAGGAGGCATTACAGCATTTCAGAGAAGCCCAGACACAGTCATGGACTTTTGATCAGGAGTGGACAGAAGCCCAGTGGGCATGGTGAAAAGGTCATTTGGGACCAGATTTTTGTAAGAAGGATGGTACATGAAGAATATTAAAAGGTCTCTTTTGTATCTTTGTAACAGGGTCTTTTACAAAACCAAGCTTTTAATTTTGATGAGTCCAGTTTATTGAATTTTTAATTATTAATTTAATTTTACAGCTGGTGTTTCAGCTAAGACCCTAGTCCTGGCTCTCCAAGGTTATCTCCTCAAAGCTTACAATTAAACCTCTGATCATTTTGAGTTTTTATATAAGGTTGAGGTTTATTGTTTTCCTTTTGGATGCCCAGTTGCTCCATCTCCATTTGTGGAAAAGATGGAGACTCTCCCCAAGTTGGTTCAAGAACTTTGTCAAACATCAGCTGACATACTAATGTTTGGGTCTTTCTGTTCTCTATTCTGTACTAATTTCTATGTCTTCTCCCTGCATCATTATCACATGGTATTGGTTACTATAACTGTATGAGGATACATCAAAAGTATTGTGGTTCTAGTTCGTACATGCTCTGGTTTATTCCAAACAAAACTCGTCTCTGCGATCAGTGGATGGCTGCAGACAAGTTCTTTCAGTAATAGACTTGTCTTAGTCTCACTAAGGAGTCCTGGTGTGGCGCCGTGGGTTAATGCGCCAGACTGCAAAGCTATTTGAACTGCAAGGTCAGTAGTTCAAGCTCACCTTTCACTCCTTGGAAACCCTATACAGGGTCGCTATGGGTCGGAACTGACTCAATGGCACTTAACAACAGCAACAACAGTCTCACTAGGGTGCTTTCCAAACAAAGGTCCAATCAGAACAGTGGCTTCCAAGGGGATCTGCTGGTCCCGTTTAATTCAGGGCAGAAAGGTCAGCTCAGAAGGTTATGGTGAGTTTTTAGTGCTTCCAAATGGGTCATCCTGACAGATTTTCTGGAAGGGCACAGATCATTCACACAGGGGTGGATGGGGGAGAGTTGGAATGTTGGGGAGGAAGGCTTATTATGAAGGTGTAAGAAATTGGAAACTGCATTAGTGAGAACAAGGGGCCAGCAAAAAGTGCTGAGGAATATTTTCCATCATGACAATACATCTGCTTATTCTTCAAGAGTAGTGAGGGCATTCCTATGAGAATTTCATTAGGAAACCTTACACCATCCACCCTATAGCCCAGATCTTTCCACTTCAGACTTCTTTTTGATTCTAAAATAATTAAGAACGTTGAGAAGGAACACAAACGATGTGAGCCTCTCCAGGATTCTAAAGGAGTCCTGATGTGGCACTGTGTGCTAATGCGCTGGGCCGCAAAGTTGGTTTGGATCTGAAGGTCGGTGGTTCAAGCTTGCCAGCCGACTTGATGACACTTAACAGCAACAATTTTGATTTGTAAATTGCAGGGCACGGAATTGGGGCAGGGTTGAGAGATGGAAACACTGCCTTCAGAAGTGTATAGACTTAGATGGAGCATCTGCTGAAAGACAATAGCTTTCCATTTCGAGACTTTCATTTTTAGTAAAGGTTACTATGAATTTGTATCAATACTTTCTGATTTAGCCTCGTTTAATAAGCCTTGGTACCGGGTAGAGGGATTTCTCATTTTTGTTCTTCATTTCCCTAACTATTTTACGTTTTCAAGCTCCTTTGCCTTTCTGTATATGTTTCAGAATGGAATTGTCTATATCTGCAAAGAATCTTAAGGAGCTCTGGCAGCGTAGTGGTTACGAGTCGGGCTGAGATTCTCAAACTCAGCAGTTGGAAATTACCAGCAGTTCCGTGGGAGAAAGATGAGGCTTTCTGCTCCCGCAAAGATTTACAGCCTTGGAAACCCTATACAGGGTCGCTATGAGTTGGAACCAACAAGGTGGTACACAGTCACCACCACCACAAAAATTCTTACTAGGACTTTGATAGGAAATGTGATAAACCTATAGATAATTTGGGGAGAAACTGTGTTTTCTTTATAAAAGTGGTGAGTAAAAATCCACAGAGAATCCTAGACTTGGGCCTCTGGGTTGTCTGGGGGCTGATTTGAAGTCATCTGACATTGATAGCTCAGTGGTAGAAGACGTGCCTGTTGTGTGGAAGACCCAGGTTCAATTCCAGTCAGTGCGCCTCAGGCACCGCTACCACCAGGCTCACATGGTGCTGAGAAGTTTCAGCACAGTTTGTAGACTTAGAAAGAAATGCTAGGCTTTCTACTTCAAAAATTCGCCAGTGAAAGCCCTACAGGTCCCAGCAGTCATGGGGTGCTGCCGTGGGAGCCTGGGCCATGCTCTCTGTTCACAGGGAGCAGATGGAATCCCAGCTGGGAAAGGAGGCCCGCTTCCGGCAGCTGCTGGCCCACAGCTCCCATGACTCTGCCATCGACACGGACTCCATGGAATGGGAGACAGAAGTTATAGAGTTTGAGAGGGAGACGGTGAGTTGTCATTGTGGTGCCCCCATCCCCCGGGGTGGTCTTCTTACAATGTCATGACTGTTGGGGTAGCGGGTGGTGTCCTGAGCCTCGTGGAGGCCACACGGGCAAAGGGAAGAGAAGTGCCCCAGGGAGATGGGCAGATGTCTGTCTGTCTGCAGTGACACATCAGAGGGTCGTAGGTTCCAGTATTGGGGTTCGAGAGCCCAGTGTTCTCAGTGCTGCTCTGTCTTCACAGGAGGATATTGATTTAAAGGCCCTTGGGTTCGATATGGCCGAAGGTGTGAATGAGCCCTGTTTCCCGGGGGACTGTGGCATATTTGTCACCAAAGTGGACAAAGGAAGCATTGCTGATGGCCGGTTAAGGTACGTGCCCAGGAGGCCCAGGCCCTGGAGGGATGGTGAGCTTCTTTAACCCAACATCCAGGAGACTCGCAGGGTGACTGTGAGTGGAGACGCCGGCCTCTCCGTCGCCTCTGCTCCTGGCTTTCCTCCAAGTCACCAGGTTCTGTCTTTTGTTTCTCTGGATAGGAAAGGGCTCAGGCAGTATGCGTGAGAACCCCAGCTGTACCTGCGCTCTCACAGTAGTGAAAATAAGAAACACCTATAAAGAGTTTGGAGTCCTGGTGTGGTGCTATAGGATAAACACTAGACCGCAAGGTCATTTTGAACCACAAGGTTGACAGTTCAAACCCACCAGCCGCTCCTTAGAAACTATACAGGGTCACTGTGAGTTGGAATGGACTCAGTGGCACTTAACAACCACAAGGGTGTACTCTGCTATGTGGAGCCCCTCAGGGCTGCAAATGGTTAGCATGCTTGACTGCTGAAAAGGTGTAGAAATCTGAGCCAGCCTAAAGGTGCTTAGCAAGTCTGTTCCTGGAAACTCACCCATTGAAAACCCTGTGGGAGTACAGATCTCCTGTGCACCGCAATGGGTTGCCATAAGTCTGAATTGGTTAGCAACTGGAGGAAAATGGGCTAAGTACCACTTGGCACACTTTGTATAAATGGATTCTGTAAACTTTACAGTCCTATTGAGGTAGGTGTTATTATTACCCCATTGTACAGATGAGGATAATGAGGCTCAGAGGGGCTAGTTCACTCACTCAAGGTCACATGGCTGGAAGGTGGTTGCGCCAGGATATGACCCCAGATGGTCTAGCTCCAGAATCTGCAAGTGTAACCACGACACAGGCTGAAAGAGGAGATCTTTCTGAATGTGTCTGTGTGGGTGCTTGCTTTCTGACCTTCCCAAAATGGGAAAGGCGAGAGTGCACCAGCAGCCCCCACACCTGCCTGGGTACCAACCTGGCTCTGCCCCACTCAGGGTCAACGACTGGCTGCTGAGAATCAACCACGTGGACCTCATCAACAAAGACAAGACACAGGCCCTCAAGGCCCTCCTCCATGGGGAGGGGGCCATTAACATGGTGGTGCGGCGGAGGAAGTCTCTGGGCAGCAAGGTGGTCACACCGCTGCACATCAACCTGAGCGGACAGAAAGGTAGTGGGTGTGGAAGGGGTACCTCCTGCCCAAGGGGAGGAGGAGATGTCGATGTGTTTCCCTAGTGGGAAACTGTCAGCGTCCTGGGTCTGGCTTGTCTCTGTCGGAGTGTTTTATGAGCTAGTCTACAAAAGTGAGGTAGGGTAGTGGAGTGTGGAGCAGCTGGGGTGGGCTCACTGCTACCTCCTTTGCCTGTGGTTGCAGACAGCGGCATCAGTCTGGAGAATGGCGTGTATGCTGCTGCCGTGGTACCTGGAAGTCCCGCTGCCAGGGAAGGGTCCCTAGTGGTGGGAGACAGGATTGTAGCGGTAAGTCTCAAGGAAGAGGCAGGTGGTCTTCTGCAAAGCATTAAATTACATTGGAGAGGTTTTAAAACAATATCATGAGCTAAGCGTTCCTATTTCTTGCTGTTGGGCTTCATGTGAACAATTTAAAATGGAATTTTGTCATGATATGTTTAACTTCCCTAAAGAAAATTAGAAAATACAGAAAAAGTTTAGGAGGAAAATGTAAAAATTACTTATCTTGCTACCAATGGTAAGAAACTTTCAATGACATTTTATTTCTTTGCAGCCTTTATTCTACACCTGCAAGTATATTTAGGGAAACCACTTGTTTGTCTATGTAACTATCTGTGTATTTATCTAATCTATCTACCTGTCTGTTAGTTTGTCTATCGAATTAATATAATCTGAGCATCATTTTTAAATCTTTTTTTGTTTTGTTTTTGTTGTTAATTGCCATCAAGTCGATTCCGAGCCATAGTGACCCTGTATAATGTTTCTGAGGAGCAGCAGGTGAACTTGAACCACCAACCTTGCATTTCAAACGACTTTGCAGTCTGATGCATTAAGCCACATCACCACACCAGGACTCCAAAATCTTTCTTGGTGGTGGTGGGTATGTGCCGTGGAGTCGGTTCCGACTCATAGCGACCCTGTACAGGGTTTCCGAGGCTGTCAATCTTTACGGGAGCAGAAAGCCTCATCTTTCTCCCACGGAATGTAGTTTCGAACTGCTGACCTTGTGGTTCGCAGCTCAATTTGTAACCAGTACGCTACCAGAGCTCCTTAAAATCTTTCTTAGATGTCCATTTGTTGGCTAAAGTATTCAAGCACTACAAGACCCTATCAAGTGTAAATAAAGTAGGAGTCTCCCGTCTTCCCTTTACTCCTACTCCTGTTGGTGGCTGTGCCCCAACCTTAAATGCTCCTCGTGCACTTACATAGAGTTCGGAGTTTTGTTTTTAAAATAGAATATTGGGATCTGTAGTTTGCATTCAGCGATGTCCTCTTTCTTTTTGTCTGCCTCATGGTGTTCCGTTTGAGAGTATACGTCGTGTTTCCAAGAGTTATTTCCCTGAGAGAAACCGTTCTCTATACTACAATGTGTGTATAGGTACCTATTTGTATGTATGTATGTTCTACATTTTCTCTCGTCCCACACAGGCCTAATAACGGAATCCCTTTCAGAGCAGTAGGCAATGGTAGCTGGTCACCATCCAGTTCTTCTGGGGTCAGGGTCCATTAGTTGGTCTCATTTCTAAGCGTTTCTAACTGCCATCGCTTCTTGTCTTCTGCGCATGGACAGACCAGTAGTTACACTTTTGATGGCTGCTCATGAGCTTATAAGATCCTGGTTACTACTCGACAAAGTAGAATGTAGAACATAGTTTTTGTGAACTGTATTCTCCCAACACGCCAGGTCCTGCGACTCATTCCCTCAGGGTGTCTACAAAGATTCCCTAATACTGCCTTCTGTATGCTCTACCACCTTCCTAGATAAGTTTGCGGTAAAGGTGATCCCAGGTACAAATATCCTGTCAAACTTTTATATGTTTGTAAGTATGTCCCCACTGCCCCACCCACGTTCGTTCAGCTGGTGTGTTCATCCTTGTATTTACCTGTTGTTGTTTTTTGCCATTGAGTCGGTTCTGACTCAGAGCGACCCTGTATAGGATTAAACCACTCAACCTTGAGGTTCAAGTCGACCTTGCAGTCCAGTGCATTAACCCACACTGCCACACCAGGACCTATAGATCTCCATGACTGCAGGATTGTGTAAGAACAGCATTCATGTCTGTTCCCTATAACTCTTGCACTCCTCCCCGTATCTTCCCATGCATTTACCATTTTTCTGCTGCCCTTCTTTGTGCTGTATATTGCCTTATTGATGTTGTTAAGTGCTGTAGAGTCGGTTCTGACCCATAGCGACCCTGTACAGGGTTTCCGAGGCTGGAAATCTTTACAGGAGCAGAAAGCCTCATCTTTCTCCCGCAGGACAGCTGGTAGTTTCGAACTGCTAACCTTAAGGTTCACAGCCTGATTCGTAACCACTATGCTACCAGCAAGTTATCATGTGTCTTCTACCCTGTAGTACTGTGCTATATAGGATAAGCACTGGACTCTGTTCAATCCCACTAACTGCTCTTTGGAAACCCTATACAGGGTCACTATGACAGCACTTAACAACAATAACCCTCTATCTGCTGTGGCGCTGTAGGATGAGCACTGGACTGCTAACCACAAGGTCAGCAGTTCAAACCCACCCACTTCTCTATGGGAGGAAGATAAAGCTTTCTACTCCCGTAAAGATTTACAGTCTCGGAAACCCTATATAAGATCATTGTGAGTCGTAACCAACTTGATGGCACTTAACCAGCAGTAAGCTTAAATTACCCCCCATTTAGTTGTAGTTTCCATTTTTGCAAATGGCAGCATTCTGCAATGAACTTGCCTTATGTGCACCTCGACTTTGGGGACATCCAGTGGAATTTCTGTGGCTGAAACTCCTTGAAGTGCTTTGAACTGACTGAAATGTAGGGCAGACATACTTTATATTTACATATTTGTGTGTGTCTGTACTTTTATTAAACAATACTGTATTTGCAGTGAAGGTTTACACATCATCTTAGGTTCTCATTCAGTAGTTTCCAAGCAAATTGTTCAGTTACGTGGGTTCCATTTTTCACAGTGTTATGTGAGCATTCTCATTTCCATTCTGGTTGTTCTGTTTCCATTCATCTAGTTTCCCTGCCCTCTTACATTCTTTTACATTTTTGTTTTAAAGTAACTATTAATAGTTTGCTCTCATACAATTGTTGGTTTTTTAAGAAAAGTCATGCATCTTTTTCATGGTACACACAAAATCCTAATCATACAAAAGGCAGACCATACAAATCGCACTTCCTCTGGTTCCAGATACCCCGCCTACCGAGTGTGTATCTGCTGTTACAATTTATTTTGTTTCAGAGATGTTTGCAATGTGTGGCTCCCACTTTCTTTGTTTAATGCAGATGGCATCAGAATGTACCCCACTGCTAACTTTGCATCTTGGTTTATAACAACATGTCTCGGATGTTTTCCATATTTGCATATGTAGATCTGCCTCAGTTATTCTTGGTCAGTGCTAGGTGAAGTGATGGGCACTCAGGGTGCCTTGCCTTTACCAGCCATGCTGCAGTGGTCGCTGCCACGCTGGGACCTGCCTGGGGCAGATTCCTGTAGTGGAACTGCTGGACCTGAGACCTTCTACGGTGAACACTGGATCACTGGATGCCATCTTCCCATAGTGCTCCAGGTCAAAACATTACCACAGGCTCCATTTATGAGAGCGATTGCTTCCAGTCTTTGCCAGTGCTTTAAGAGGTGGAGGATGATAATGAAAACTCTCCCAATTCATCTACCTCTTCATGATAATATGTACTTTAAAAGTTTTCATTATGAAATGATGATCAATTCACAGGAAGTTGCAGAGGGAGTTCAGAGAGATCTCCTGTACCTTGTACCCAGTTTCTCCTAGAGATTATACATTGTGTAGCTCTAATGTCAACCCCAGACCATTGACGTTGGTGTGATGTGGGTGATTCTGTGCCATTTGACCATGTAGGTAGTTTCATGGACTCACTAATGCATGGTTCTGTTACCTCAAAGATCTCTCACATGTTCTTTTATTGTAATACCCAACCCGTTGATGACCACCATGCCTAAACCCTGGCCACCACTTATCTGGTCCTCATTTCTGTAATATTTGTTATTTCAAGATTCCCAGATAGTGTCAAGGATTAAAGTGTTCAGCTCCTAACTGAAAGGTTGGAGGTGTGCATGAGCTCTGGTAGCGTAGTGGTTATGAATCAGGCTACGAGCCTCAAGGTTGGCAGTTCGAAACTACCAGCCATTCCGCGGGAGAAAGATGAGGCTTTCTGCTCTCATAAAGATTTACAGCCTCGGAAACCCTGTACAGGCTCGCTGTGAGTCAGAAGCGACTCCATGGTACTTAACAACAACAACAACAGAGGCACTTAGAAAAAAGATCTCACGATCTTCTCGTGAAAAACCAGTCACTGAAAGCCACCTAAGACGCAGTTCTTCTCTGACTCACGTGGGCGGTTGCCATGAACTGGAATCAACTCCACAGCAACTGTTTTTAATACAAATGGAATCATACAATATGTGACTTTTTGAGTTTGGCTCTTTTCATTCAGCAAAATGCCGTTTAGACCCATCCCATTTTTTTTTTTTATTGTGAATTGAGTGAAGGCTTACAGAGCAGATCATCAGTTTTACATTCTGAAAATCATAGACTTTGCTTCATTATATGGTTGTAATCTCCTCCATTACGAATGGTTACGAATGGGGCTGCGAATCTCATGGTCAGCAGTTCGATACTACTAGCTGTTCCGTGGGACAAAGGTGAGGCTTTCTGCTCCCGTAAAGATTGACAGCCTCGGAAACGCTGTACAGGGTCGCTGTGAGTCAGAACTGACTCCACGGCACACAACAACAACAATAACCTCCTCATGTACCAACAGTTAACAGCATTTACCTCTATTCAGTCCACCACTGCATTCCTTCCTGCGTATCTGCCACACCTGTCTTTCTTTTGCCGGTCTCCCTCTCATTGTACATTGTCTGCCCCATCACCCATGGCCCCTTGTAGCACATGTATCATTTCCTCCTCCCCCGCAAACCATCATAGATTGTTTCTTTTATCAACAACCCCCCCCCCTTTTTTTTTTTAAATTTTTGATGTATTAAAAAAACAAACCATGCAGGAATATATGATTGTTTACACAACCAAAGGGCACATTCTGCAAGCCTGCCTCCTGGCTGCCAGCACACAGCCTTTCTCTTTCCATGAGTCTGGAGTGCTCAGCTTCTCCCTCTCTCCATGCCATTGTCTCTGCCTCCATCTCTGGTGTTCCTACTTATCTGGTTAGGGTCCCATGTTCCGCTCATGCTTTTTGTTCTTGATGGTCTTAAGGTCCTCTGCTTCTGAAATGTAAGATAAACTACTCCCCCACCCCTTTTGTTATACAACTTCTTCTCCCTTTGCAGTTGTGACAGTTGCTATTAGGCATGATAGCAGTTACTCATTGTTGAATCAAATGAATCCTAGCCGCAACTCCTTTCACCAGACCCATCTAGACAAGAGCAAAACTATTCATGTGTCCTGTCTGTCACTAGTTTGTTCGTTTTTATTGCTGAGGAATGTTCCATGGTGAGCATGTGCCCATTTATTTAACCATTCACCCACCACAAATACTTTAAAAAGATCTGAGTTTGTCTGTGGGGGAGATGGACAGAGACTTAGGGACCAGGGTTGTGAGAGTCTTTTTGGACCCTAACCATGCTTCATTTCATGTGGCGCTCTGGTTTACAAAGGCTGTTTCCATCCATCATATCAGTTTAATGCCCTCCCTCCCCCAGTGAGGTACATACATTTATCTTCAAGTTTTTACATGGAGGAGTGAAGCTTGGAAGTGGGGAGTCGCAGTCAGGAAGCAGTGGAGCTGAACTGGCCCTCCAGTTCTGGCCCTGATGGACAAGCCCCTTCCCCTCCAAGGATTATAAGGGTGTTTGCTTCATTTGCCTCATAAGCACCGTGGCTAGGCTGCTCATGGCTTTGTTGGGAGGTCTCTCTCTCATTTTTCAGCTCCAGATTTGGCACCCTACTGAACTGGGCCTCCTGTCCGACACAGCATGGCAGGCAGGCACAGTCCATGTTCCGGTGGGTGCCCAGGCCTACCACACTGCTGGTGGGCTTTATCATCTCTCTGTTCACCTTAGATCAATGGCATTGCCCTGGACAACAAGTCTCTGAATGAATGTGAATCTCTGTTACGGAACTGCCAGGACTCCCTGACCCTTTCCTTGCTGAAGGTAGGTGCTACCTCCGCCTGGCTCTGTGCACACATCCCGGGCGGGCAGCTTCAGCCTTCTGTACCCAAGGTCTTTTTCAACATCTCCGGTACACTTTTGGTTTACAAAGTGGTATATACTTAGGAGTGGGATGGTTGGGTCATATGGTAATTCTGTGCTTATGTCTGCACTGGATCCTGATTTAAAAGCAGGAACCAGAGTATTTTGAAAGACATTTTGGCAACAATTGGACACATTTGAACGTGGACTGGAGAATTAGGTAATACTACGGGAATTCTTGTTAATTTCTTAGGTGTTGTTGTTATGTGCCATGGAGTCGGAACCGACTCATAGCGACCCTGTACAGGGTTTCCGAGGGTGTAAATCTTTACGGGAGTAGAAAGCCTCATCTTTCTCCCGCGGAGCAGCTGGTAGTTTCGAACTGCTGACCTTGCGGTTCACAGCCCGAGTCGTAACCACTACGCTACCAGAGCTCCTTAATTTCTTAGGTGTAGTCGTGTAGTACTCTAGGATTAGCACTGGACTGAGAACCAAAAGGTCGGCAGTTCAAACCTACCAGCTGCTCCTCAGAAACCCTGTACAGCGTCGCTCTGAGTCAGAATCGACTCGCTGGCCTATAATAACAATAAAAGCAATGATGGTATTGTGGTATACAGGACAGTGGCCTTGTTTGTTAATGTTGTCAGGTGTGAATTGTGATGTTTGAACTTACTTTCAAATTCTCTTCAGTGTAGATGTTGTTGCCGTGAGGTATTGTTGAGTCAGTTCCAACTCAAAGCGGCCCTGCACACAACAGAACAAAGTACTTCATGGCCTTGTATGAACCTCAAAATTGGTTTTATGTTTGCGTCCATTGTAGCTGCCACTGTGTATTCATGTTTTTCACTGACCATCCAGTTTACCAAGTGTGATGTCCTTCTCAGGGACTTGTCCCTCCCGATAACATGTCTAAAGAGAGGCCAAGTTCTGCCATACTAGCTTCAAAAGAGCATTTTGGCAGTACCTCTTCCAGGACAGAATTGCTTGTTCTCGTGGAAGTCCGTGGTTCTTTCAATATTCTTTGCCTAAATGATAATTCAGATACGCACTTTCATTTAGAGTCTTCTGTATTCGTTGTGCAACTTCCACGTGCATCTGAGACACTTGAAAATACGATGGCTTGGGTCAGGCACACCTTAGTCCTCAAACTGACATCTTTGCTTTTTGACACTTTAATGAGGTCTTGTGCAACAGATTTGCCTAATGCAGTATGTCGTTTGATTTCTTGAGTACTGTGTCCTTGTGTGCTGATTGTGGTTCCAAGCAAAATGACAACTTCAGTCTCTTCTCCGTTTATCATGATGTTATTATTGGTCCTGTTGTGAGGATTTTTGTTTTCTTTACATTGAGGCGCAAACCGTACTGAAGTCTGTGATCTTCATCAGTAAGTATTTTAAGTCCTCTCTGCTTCCAGCAAGCAAGGTTGCGTCATCTGCATGTTGCAGGTTGTTAATGAGTTTTCCTCCAACCCTAATGCCACATTCCTCCTCTACAGTCCAGCTTCTCGGATTATTTGCTCAGCGTGCAGATTGAATAAGTAGGTGAAAGAATACAACCCTGGTGCACACCTTTCCCGATTTTAAATCATTCAGTGTCCCCTTGTTCTGTTCAAACAACTGCTTCTTGGTCTATGAGTAGGTTCTTCATGAGCACAATTACGCATTCTGCAATACCCATTCTTTGCAATGTTATCCATAGTTTGTTATGATCCACATAGTTGAGTGTCTTTACCTAGTCAATAAAGCACAGATATACATCTTATATTTTCTGCTTTTAGGCAAGATCAATTTGACATCGATCTGCCCCCTCTTCTAAATCCAACTTGAATTTCTGGCAGTTCTCTGTCGATGTATTCTTACAACTGTTTTTGAATTATATTCAGCCGTATTTGCTTGCATGTGATATTAATGGCATTGTTCGATGATTTCTGCATTCCTTGGGGTTATTCTTTGGAATGGGCACAAATAGCATCTCTTCTCATCAGTTGGCCAGGTAGCTGTCTTCCAAATTTCTTGGCATAGATGAGTGAGCTCCTCCAGCACTGCATCAGTTGATTGAAATATTTTAATTTGTATTCCATCCATTCCTGGAGCCTTGTTTTTCACCAATGCCTTCAGTGTAGTTTGGACTTCTTCCTTCAGTACTATCGGTTCTTGATCATGTGCTCCCTCTTGAAATGATTGACCACTGGCCAGTTCTGTTTGTACAGTGACTCAGTGTATTACTTCCGTTTTCTTTTGATGCTTCCTGCATTCCCTTGTCGTTTTGCCCATAGAATCTTTCAGTCTCACAAATTGAATCTTACCTTTTTTCTTCAGTTATGTCAGTTTGAGAAATACTAAGTGTGTCCTTCCCTTTTGGTTTTCTAAATCACATTTCATTAAAATGCTTGATTCTGTGTCCTCAAGCTGCCCTTTGGAATTTCCTGTCCAGCCCTTTTACTTCATCATTTCTTGAATTGCTTTAGCTTGCCTATTACGTTTCAGGGTCTCTTCTGAATTCCAGCTTGGTCTTTTCCTTCTTTCCTGTCTGTTTAATGACCCCGCTCATTTCTAACTTTTAGGTGTTAGGAATTATGGTTTGGTGAACTTTGGTGTGCATTCATCTGTTTGAGTCCTTGTTGTCAAATCCATTTGGTACATACGTAGCAGTGGAGTTGACAGGTCTTATGCTTATGTATTTATCTTTTTGAATAACCACTATAAACACTCCTCCACAGCGGCTGTGGTATTTTACACTTCCATCAGCGGTGATGAGGGTGCCAGCTAAGGATGCATTGTTCAGAATGCACTCTTGAGTTTCATGTCTGTTAATTGTTAAAACTGTGCAGGATGCCATGTAGGCCACTTCAGAAAATGCTCAAATACAAAGTGACCAAGACCCTGTGAATAGCAGGTGGACAGCCTTCCCTGTTGGCGGGCAAAGTGAGCCGTGCATGTAGACTTGTTTGTACACGTCTACATGTATGTGCATGCCGGTTTGTCTTTTGAGGGTGTGCGTGTGGCCTATAGGGATGGTCTGTCTGTAGTCACAGCCCCTTCCGTCTCAACTCCTCTCACGTCTCTGCAATCCCTGCCTAGGTTTTTCCCCAGAGCTCCTCGTGGAGTGGCCAGAACATCTTTGAAAACCTCAAGGACTCAGAAAAGATGTTGAGTTTTCGAGTCCACGGCCCTGAGGTCCAGGCTCACAACAAGCGGAACTTAACGCAGCACAATAATTCCACGCAGACAGACATCTTCTACCTGGACAGGCTGCCTGCACCGGAGGACCGGAAGGAGATGCCCGCTCCAGGAGGCAGCAGCTCTTTCCTGCACAAGCCCTTCCCTGGGGGGCCTTTTCCGGTCTGTCCACAGGCCTGTACCAGTGCCTCCGAACGCAGCCTGAATTCCTTCCGCTCGGACCCATCTGGGGAGCACAGCTATGGGCTCAGGGAGGGCCGCAGCCGGAGGTCCCTGCTGCCTTTTGAGACTGAGGTGGGCCCCTGTGGGGCAGCGGAGGCCCCCCTGGACAGGGCGGAGCCCGAGAGCTCCAACAGCGGTGGGACATGGCCCAAGGCCGTGCTCAGCTCCAGTGCAGAGCCTGAGAAACTCTCTGTTTACAAGAAGCCAAAGCAAAGAAAGTCCATCTTTGACCCTAACACTTTCAAACGACCCCAGACGCCTCCCAAAGTAGACTACCTGCTTCCGCACTCTGGGCCCCCTTACCCAGCCCAGGCTTCCAGGAGGGTGGAGCCTCTGACACCCCCAAAACCACCAAGGAGGAGTGACTCCACCAAGTTGCAGCACAGACTAGAGACCAGTTCCGAGTCAGAGGCCACTCTGGTAGGCAGCTCCCCCTCCACCAGCCCCCCGATGGCCCTGCCCCCTGAACTGGACCCTAGGGATCCCATCCCCGTGTCCTTCCCTCGCAAGGCCAGGGTCCGTATTGCTTCTAGCTACTGCCCTGAAGGGGATGGCGAAGCCTCCTACCTCCCGGCCAAGAAGTCTTGCGATGAGGACCTCACCTCCCAGAAGGTGGATGAGCTGGGGCAGAAGCGTCGCCGTCCCAAGTCTGCTCCTGGGTTCCGGCACAAGTTGTCTTTGGTGGTCCCTCCTGTTCAGGGCATGGAGGTAGAGCGCTGCCTTGGGGAGAGGGCAGATGGGCGCTTCCGCTCCTCAGAGCGGCTATGCTACCAAGAGTGCTTAGCCCTGGTGCCTTTGTCGGGTGGGGAGGACACCTGGAGGCCAGTGGGAAGTAGCCAAAAAAGCAGTTTGTCCTTTCTCGGAGATTGGACGGTGATGAGGCATTTGCACACCAGTGGACACATGATGTCCAGAGAGGTGTACTTTCTTGGCCACAGCATTTGACAGCTTTTGCACTTTTCGGCTTCCCAACCCGGTGGTCGCACTGAGCTTGATGGGTGTAGGGAACAAGGTAGCATGCTGTATGGCCGACAGTATGTCAGCGTGACTGCCTTCATGTTGTGGTAGTTTGCAGAAGGTGAAGGTGGCTGTGGGCTGGAGACAGCATTTCAGGAACTGATCCCTGCTGCTCCCAGCAGACAGACAGCTTGATTCACCTGCAAGTTGTAATGAGTTACTGCGTGTTCCCGATGCTCTTTCCTTTCACACATGCATTGCTGAGTCGGCCCCTGACTCAGAGTGACCCCGTGTGCAATGGGAACACACCGTCTTAATCCATGTGGTTTTCAGAAGACTGATTTTTCAGACAGAGGTTGCCAGACCTTTCTTCCTACTCTATATCTTAGTCCAAAAGCTCCACAGAAACCCATTCAGCATGTTAGCAGCACACGAGCCTCCACTGGCTGACTGGTAGTTGTGTGTGAGCTATGTTGGATGAGACGCCAACTGGGCCTCGTGCATGGAAGGCAAGAACTTTATCACAGAGACACCGTTGCCCCCACTGTACACACAGAATCCCCATGTGTTTAAGAGAACAGAATTTTTTCCTCTGAAGTACTTTTAAAGGGCGTTCTCCCCTTCACCATGGCTGTGTCTTGCTGGATCTCCCAACGTCAGCTTCTCTCTTTGCTTCCCACAGGAGCAGCAATGCATCCCGACCAGCGGGGAGCTTTCCCCAGAGCTCCAGGAGTGGTCCCCTTACTTGCCAGTGCCTTCCAACCGCCACAGCAACCCCCCACTCTACCCCAGCCGGGCATCTGGGGGTGAGTCAGCGGTGGGGGCTGGAGAGAGGGCCCCGGGAGAAAGGAGGAGGTAGTGGTCTCAGGAAATCTTTGGGTGAATTTGACACTAAAACCCAAAGAAGCAGGACTTGCTGACCTGCCCATGATGTGAAACCGTTCATCTCTGGCGTTTCTTCGTTTCCCACAGCAGTTCTGGGGAAGTAGGAAGCATGAAGGAGAGCTGGAGATGGAAAATAGTGAGCAGCCCAGAGCCTTATAGCAAACCAGGGGCTAGAACGCTGCTCTCCTGAGTCCTCTTCCCTAACTATTCTGCAGCCGCATCTTCTCAGGGAAACAGCGGGAGGAGAGGGTCTCCAGGCCCGGGGCTAGGCAGGCACTTTGTCCTCACTGAGTCCATTTCCAGGCACCGTTCCCCGGAGTGTGACCCCGAGCACTGCCGTGAACTCCATCCTGAGGAACCCCATCTACACTGTGCGGAGTCATAGGGTTGGCCTCTGCAGCTCTCCACCCATCCCCAGAGAGGGTGGGCCCCAGGGCCTGTACCCCAGGTAGGTGAAGTTAACTGACACTTCGTGGCGCCCTAGCCACCCAAGCCCTCCTAGGGTTTTAGACATTAGAAGACTCACGGACAGAGAAGCTTCCTTGCTTAGCTGGTTAAGGGGCTGATTAGAGCATTGCTTGGACCATAGGGAAAGTGAACTTAAAGCTGCTCTCTGGATTCACCAACTTAGCGCTGGAGAGGGCTTGTGACGATCGCTGATGTGCTGGGGGGCACTGCCTTCACTCCTTTTCACGTGCCATCTAATCTCATCCTCATAGTCAGCTTGGGAGCTAAGGACTTTCATCATCTTGTTTTATAGATAAGCAAACCAAGCCCTATGGAAGTGAATGAGGCACTCTTTCATTTATTTTGTTATTGACAGTTTATTTATTGAGCACCTACTACGTGCTATGGACTTTTCTAGTTTCAGGGGGATGCAGTGTTGAACCAAACATAGAAACTTCCTGTTCATACCATGCTTTGTATTCAGCAGTGGGGAGACAGACAGAAAAAGTGAACTGACTAATACCAGTCAGTGCAGGTGGCTCTAAGACAGGGACATGGATGACCAGCTGGTTGTGACCCTGGACGAGGCTGATGATTGGATAAGTCATGGAGGGCTGAGGGTAGAGAGAATGCTGTGACGACCACAGGGTGGATGATGCCCCATGGAAAGACCTGGGCAGGCCTCCCAGAAAGAAAGGTGCTCAGGATGGACTGAGAGCTGCTTAGTGGGCTAGAGGAGCACAGTGACTGGGACATGGCAAGGGGATGGGGGGTCAGAGGGGACAAGCTCTGCAGGCCTTTGTCTGAGGGTTGTAAGCAGGGTAGAGACTTGCCATCTTATTACACAGCTGGAAAAAAGACTTGACTACTTGCCCTCTGACTCAACGACCCATGGGCTCTCTGCCTTCCTGCTCCCTGGTCCCCAGCTCCTCGGTGCCCATGCAGCCTCTCTCCCTCTGACCCACTGGGTTCCAGAGCCCCCATTTTCTCCTGGGGCAGTACCTTCCTCACACCCTGATGGAAGTGAATTTGATACTGTCTCCATCTGCGTGGAAACAAGAGCCATCATTGGATGACACCTCTGAGAAGTGACTTTTCCCCATGAGTAGCAGACACCTGGGGCTCTGCTGGCCCCGCCTGTCCTCCCAGGCTCTCTCACTTTCTGGTTCTCTCCCAGTGTCCAGCATCAAGTCCGCCTGAGCCTGGATCTGAGCCCCCGGTCCTACGGTGACTACTCAGAGATGAGGACCTCCCACGGGTCCAACTCCCTGCCCTCTAGCGCCCGCCTCGGTGAGGATGCCAGGGACCCAGCTTTTTTCTGTCTCTGCCTCACGTCCTTGTGCATACATCTCCTGATGGCCTGTCTCTCGCATGGAGGGCTGACCCCGTCTCAAAGTAGGCTCAGTCACACTTCACCAACCACTTCCTTTCACGTTCTGTGTCTCGTCAGCTCTCCTCAGCAGACATTAGACCGTTCCAGGTGACCCTTTGCCTAGGAGCCTTGTCCCTGCCCCCCAGCTTGTTGTTCATTCTGGGGGTTTTGTATTACTGTTCACTTCCTGACCTTGTAACTCAGGTAGACTCTCATGGTTACTTCATGGAGAGACTGTTCCTTCACTGGGCTGCTGCCCCAGTGTTCCTATTCCAGAGCTTGCTACACCTGCATTGTTCATTCAAATGTAGACGGTGCAACATTATTCCACATTTCAGCCATAATCATACATCTCTTTCCACACCACTAAAGTGGTGGTGAGGGGGTGACGGGAATGTGTGCATTCCGAGGCCTGAAATCTTGTCTCTTTATGGAACAACAGGCTCTTCGAGTAACTTGCAGTTTAAGGCGGAACGTATTAAAATCCCATCGACACCAAGGTACCCGCGCTCTGTTGTGGGCTCTGAGAGAGGTAAGGTCTCACGCTCTACCCTCCTCATGTGCTTGTCTTGTGGGTTCTCTCTACGTTGAGTCTCTGGGCACAGCTTGTAACCTCCTAATCTCTTCTGTCACTCAGGGCTCATTGAGCCCAGCCCCAGGCTTAGTGATGTGGGGATAAGATATAGCCCCCTTCCCATCTGAAAGTTAGGCATGCCTCTGAAACCTTTATATGGCATAGAGTGGAGATGCAATTGCCATTCATTTATGTGGAAAAAAATATGAACATTATCAGACTGGAAACACAGCGTACTACATTTACCAAATAACATGCAAAACGTAAACTAACCCTACCCCATAGTGGTCACATACACAATTCTAAGCTCTGGCAGGCAGCTCCATGCTGAGGCTCTGAGTGTAGTTCCTGGGGAAAGGGCTAGGGGGTGCCACTCTTGCTGCTGGAGGTGCACGTTGCCTCATTAATGAGTTGCTGCAAAACCAATACAAGGCTAGTTTTGCTTTTCACCTTTTTTTTAAATAAAAGCAATTTCTTTTGGTTAGCAAAAACAGATACTAATGTAGGTCTTTGGGAAAAGCAAACTTTGGAAAAGCAGAGGGTACCTGTATGTGAAAATCTATAGGGCTCTACGAGGGGGCTTCATAAAGTTCTTTACCTCTCAGTTCTGTGTCTCCATGAACTTTCTGAGGCCCTCCTTGCACAACAGTACTCATTAAAGTAGGGGCGTTAGTTAGTAATCATGTTTCTTTGTTGGCTCATCAGTTGTAACAAATGTACCAGATGACAAGAAGTTATTAATGAGAGAAAGTGTACAGGGAACTCTCTATTTTCTGCACAAGTTTTCCATGAACTGAAACTACCGTAAAATACACAGTCTGTGTCTTAAAGGAAGCAGCATGAGAACTGAGCATCTGAATTGAGAGTGTGTGGTGTGGCCAGGATGAATGTGAGCGTGTGGTGTGGCCAGGATGAATGTGAGCGTGTGGTGTGGCCAGGATGAATGTGAGCGTGTGGTGTGG